ATTGGATCAAAATCATCCTTATAAAGGATTTCAACCCATCAAACAAAAATACATCAGAAAGTTACAATCCCGACCCACCATCCTATTTCCTTATATGTGATATTTAGATCTGATTTGTGACTTTTGAGTATTACATGTGGCATTGAGACCTCATATGTGACGTTAACGTATTACATATGAATGTTAGATGTGTACTTCATCTATAAGATATATTTCTAGATGTGCACTTTATCTTGTTAAAAATTATAAATTGAAGTTTAGAAGATGTGTTTTGCTTCAAGTGTTGCTCAACGTATTTCAAAATTATTGGAGTTTGCTACATACAAGTATACGTTCATCTGTTATGTGTGACCTTTACTCGTCTCATGTGGCAATACTCTATTATATGTGACTCTTATCTGTGTTATGTGATATTTTGTCGTTGCTTGTGACAGTTGTCGTTTATATGTGACTTTGTAGTTAATTTTTGTTTGACACACAGATATGGTCATATCACATCCAATGTTGCTGAATCTTTCAACAATTGGATTCGTTTGGTGAAAACACTTCTTATTTGTGATATGATGGATCACATTCGTGTGCAAATTATGGAAATGATGAATACTCGCCGCAAGATGGCAACAAAAAATTCTCCAAGAAATTTGCATGGAGAGCACTCTTGAAGTCTCACATTCTATAGTTGCAACAAAAAATTCTCCAAGAAATTTGCATGGAGAGCACTCTTGAAGTCTCACATTCTATAGTTGAAAAGAGGTTAAATCACACTGTAATGTATATGCATGGAGAGCACTCTTGAAGTCTCACATTCTATAGTTGAAAAGAGGTTAAATCACACTGTAATGTATAAATATCACATAACAGCAGCATATGTCATGGATAATGAGTATATCATACAGAATGTAAAAATGTCACATAACAGCAGCATATGTCACACATAATACCAAAATGTCACAGGAAACTATCATATGTGACATGCACGCAGCATATGCCACACAGAATGCATAAACATCACATAAAACCAGCATATGTGACATGAAACCGTCATATGTCACATGAAACTATCATATGTCACATAATCAAGTGTAATAAATCATATAAATATCAAAAACTTGAATAACATAGCAAATATCACATATTAACTATAAATATCACATAAAAGGACACCTGGATATTAATATAGAAAAAATAAAAGAAAAGAAAATAAGAACCATTACATAGACATTTAGAAGAGGAGAAGCACACCCCCATACCATAACTAAACAAACCAAGCCATTAACACAACAACATCCAAGCAGAACTTATACGAACAGGGTCTTTTTTTCCTCCTCCTTTCCTCTAATCCCTCTAAATTTATTAATCCCTCGATCTCTCAAGATCAGCTCTCATTTGTACTCCAGGATCATGTTGTTCTCAGGAGCCAAGCCAATGCAAGCCCTGAGGATGTTCTCCAGCATCGCCCTCTGCTTTGAGAGTGCATTCACCACTAGTGTGCTTGGAACCTATTACAAAAGCACCAAATAGTAAGATAATTAGATGATCAAAAGTTTTAATAAATTAATTTTTAATACCAAACTTCATCTTCAGAGCTCGAGCATGGGAGAAGAGCGTAACGGTAACAACTGGTTATATAAATAAACTTCACAATAGTTAATCTAGTCGATCCGTATTATCACTTCATTTTCTCTAAAACAGAATTTTTATTATGGATTTACTTTAATAAAAATTCAATATGAAATTTAATCCTAGCTTAGTTTTTGTCCCTTGGGTGCAAAACGACGCCTTGGAAGCCAGTCCTCTCAATCCAAGAGGTCTACAAAAAGAAATAGCTAAGGAAACTAAAAATTTGCAAGAAATTTGTATATGTATGAAAAGAGGAAGGGGGAGGAGGCTGCGGCGTCGGCGGTGGTGGGGGAGGGAGAGGTCTTGAGCCAGATTAGGTCAGCTTGAGGAGGAAAGAGATTAAGTTTTAAATGGGGAAGAAGGATAATTTGGGAATGAATTTCTTGGGCAGTGGGAAGAAGGGGTTGGTTGCACTTATGTTCCAATTTAAGGGCTTGGGGTTATGATTTTTGGGCTGGGGAGAAGGATGCATGACCCAACTTTTTTGGGTTCTTCCAAGCAATTTTCCCAAAAAATTATTAGCTTATTTGCCCTTTTCCCATCCAACGCTTGAGAAATCATTTGTTCCAAAAATTTGTGTACTTTACTAGTTTTATGGAAAATGTTTCCTAAAACCTTTTGCGAACCAAACAGAATTATTTGAATATAATGCCATTTTTTTGCCTACTTTTTGTCCCATCCCACAAATTCACCTTCTCCAATAATTAAGGTGTTGTTTGGCTATCCCTAACCCTAACCCTAACCCTAATTAATAATTAAAGTGTTGTTTGGCAAAGGGTTAAGTGAGACTTAACCATTCATGTGTTGTTTGGCAAATGATTAAGTGAAGGATTAAGGAGACATAACCATTCAGGTGCTGTTTGGCAAATGGTTAAGTGAAGGATTAAGTAGAATTAAACATAATCTACCAAACACGAAAAATCTATACAAGAGCTAAAGTGGGTTAACCCTCCATAATTAGCCAAACAAAAAAAATACACAAGGGTTAAAATAAACCTTCTAGACGGGTAAAATTGAGTTAACATTTCCAAGTAAGGGGTTTACTACTACTCTTATTTAGGAGGATTAAGAGATAACCCCTCTATTTATAAAAAGAAGTAAGTCAAAATCTTCATTATTCCCAAACACTAAAAATGATCACAAGGATTAAACTAAATCATACTTAAAGGCCTCGTTTGGTAAAGGGTTAAGGAAGAGGGGTTAAATAGAATGATTAATGTACTCAGCCCATTCGATAATATGAAGGACTAAATTATTAACCCGTTAAATAAGTTTTATTTTAGCCATTGTGATCAGTTTTAGTGTTTGGGAATAACAATAATTTTGACTATTTTCTTTATAATTAGAAGGTTAAATCTTAATCCTTCTAAATAGGAGTATTAGTAAATCCCTCATTTTGAGAGGTTAACTCATTTTAATCCCTCTAGAGGGGTTAGCTTAACCCTTCTATATTTTTTATGTTTGGCAAATTATAGAGGGTTAACTCACTTTAATTCTTGTATAGATTTTTTGTGTTTGGTGGGTTAAGAAGGGGTTAAGTCTCATTAACCCCTCACTTAATTCTTTGCCAAATGGTACCAAGTGGATTAAGAATTTAATCATTCGGGCTATCAAATGGGTTAACTACGTCAACCCTTCTTTAATCTCTCGTCCTCAAACCTTTGCCAAACTGGGCCTAAGTGTAAACTTAAGTCTTAAGCAAATCAAATTTCATTTTGATTTAATCATCATTATATCAAGATCTTAGAACATATGATTTACACAATGAACAATCTAATTAAGAGAGCTTACCTTGATCCATGATTCGAAGTTTGACAAAATAGACTGCAAAAGAAGCAACGTTGAAGACTTCGATTTCTCTCTCTTTGCCCTCTTAATCTTTTCCGAAATTTCTTGATGGAAAGAAGTTTTCACACACATGGGTAGAGAGAGGACCAAACCTTTTAAATAGATAATTACACACCTTCCATCAACGTGAGTAGTTATCTTGACCAATAGGAATTTAGCATAAAACGAAATAAAACATGTGTAGTTATAGTTACATAAACTTACTTAAATGTTTTGAAATGAGCAGTTACATAAAATTGTGGGAACAAAAAACATGGCCACTAAAAGGTGGTTTTACAAGACGTGGGCCATAAATCTAACACTTATTCATTGGTGTAAAAAATGGGATAATGGGATAATTTTTGGAACACTAGTGTTTGGTGTTATTCATTGGTGTAATTGGAACTGGAGTATCTATTGTGGTGTTAATTTTTGGAACACTAGTGTTTGGTGTTATTCATTGGTGTAATTGGAACTGGAGTATCTATTGTGGTGTTTATTGGTTTGTTGAGACAATTGGGGGACAAATACCCCACTTCCCCTAAAATTACACCACCTATATAAAGATAACTCAGCCCAACCCTCAAAATTACCCCATTTTGATTTCTGGAACAAGAGAGCGGAACAAAATTACCCCCAAATCGCCGCTCCTCCGCCAAAATCGAGCTCGACCTCCGTCGCCAAAATCGAGCTCCGTCGCCAGAATCGATCTCGAGCGCCCGTTCCTCCGCCAAAATCGAGCTCGAGCTCCGTCACCAAAATCGAGCTCCATCGCCGGAATCGAGCTCGAGCGCCCGCTCCTCCGCCAAAATCGGCCTCGACGAACTCGACCTTCATTTCGATGCCGGTGACCCTGCCACCTTCAACGCGTATGTTCATCACCTTCCCGATCACGACGTCGAGGTTGCTGCTGTTAAGATCCAGACTGCTTTCAGAGGTTACATGGTATGAATTTATTTATCCTCTTTTGATTTGAGCGGTGTTGTTAAATTATGGTCCTAATTATAGTTTCTCTTGTGCATAGTGTTGAAGGTTGAATGCATGCTTGTTGCTGTTTGAAAATTCTGGATGTTTTGTTTAGTGCAACATTATCTAGTTAATTATGTGAAATTAGAATATTACACGTTCTTGAGGACTGAATTTATTTAATCATTTGATGTTATATCAAGTTAAACTTGAATTTAATTAACCTATAAATATAATATTATAAAAAGATGTCATACTCAAATTGTCCCACTCAAATTGTCCCATTACCCCATTTTACCCCACTTTATCCCATTCAATTATCCCATTGGGTAAAATTACCCCATTGGAACAATTTACCCCAAATTACACCAAATTACACCAACGAATAACCCCCCCTAAGAATAGGAGGGTGAGGGGTAAAAGAGAGGAGAGTAAGAGGGATTTGAGAGAGGAGGTCATCCATGGATTTTGGTTGCGGATCTTGGATCTAGTTGAAGGTAGAAGAACGGAAGTCAAAAGAAGCAAACTAGGTTATTAAAATCCATAAACAAATGCGAAGAAAAACATACTTCCATATAAACAAAAGGGAGAGGAAATGTGAGGGTCGGATTTCTTTATGTTGGGGTCTTGAATTGTACATCATGCTATGGAATTGCATTTCTATGATAAAATGTCTCGAGATTGTAGTAAGCTCTATGCATAAAACTAAACCCACATCTCAATCCACCGCAAGTTCACCATCAAACCACAGCTCTTTCTCTAACTCTTACATGCAATCCTCCCTTCATCCTCATCGTCAAGGACAGCAGAGGCTCCGGAATCCTGTCTTTCTCCACAGGCCCTCTCGATCACCGCCGCCACGATCGACTTCATCTGAATGTACGCCATCTCCTTCCCCAAGCACATCCTCGGTCCGGCGTGAAACACCGGGAAGCGGAACGGGCTTTCGGGCCTAAAAACTCCGTTCTCCAGCCATCTCTCCGGCTTATACTCCATACAGTCCTTCCCCCATATGCTCTCCATTCTCCCCATTGCATATGCACTGTATGTCACGAACCACTTTTTCCCCACAAAAGTCCCATCGGGCATGATATCCCCGTCGCGGCACGATTGCGTGTCGATCGCCACCGGAGGGTAAAGGCGTAAGGACTCGGTGATCGCGGCGTGGACGTAGTTCATCTCCCTCAGCTCGTCGAAGCTGAATGTTCCGTCCGGGTTTTGGTTCGTCGAGCGAATCGATTTGATTTCACCGAGGACTTTGTTCTCAACATCCGGCCGTGATGATAGTATCCAGAAGAACCATGTCAACGCTGAGGATGTTGTCTCTCGCCCGGCGAGGATGAAACTTATCACGTTGTCCCGGAGGAGCTCCTCCGTGGTGTCTTTGTTCGAGGCGAATCGAGATAACAGGTCTTCTTCTATCTCTTCCTCTTGATTCTCTTCGAGCTTCGCCTTCCTCGTCTTTATGATGTTCATTGCAAAGTCTTGGACTATCTTGATCGATTCTTTCAGCCTCTTCTCCGAACCGATGTTGATGAGTTTCTTCATCTTCCAGGTGAAGCCGAACACGCCCATAAACCTTGCCGTGATGAGGTTCTGTGCTTCGCTGAAGACTCTCATGAACTCCAACCCCTTCGCCGCCACCTCTGTTGACAGACACCCTGGGTCCACGCCGAAGGCGAGCCTGCAGACGTTATCAAATCCGAACCGCTCAAGAACGCCCTGCAACTCCAACGTCTCCTTCGCCTCCGCATACTTGTACATCAACGGAAGCAATCTGTCGACGATCTCTAGTCGTACCGTGTGCATGACGAAGTTGCGGAGGGACCGCTTGTTGAACTCAAAACTCGCGGTTTTCCGCTGGTTTTTCCAGTGATCGCCTTCCGAGTTGAAGATGCCGTTGCCAAGGAAGTCGTGGAGGAGGGTGATGGAGCGGTTGCCTCTCGGGTAGTTGCCGAAGTTGGTCTTGAGCATGTGTTCGACATTGCGGGGGTCGGAGGTGATGACGCCGTGGGCCTTTGTCGGGCTTTTTATGGTGATGGTGTGGGTTGGGCCGGCGATGAGTATTTCAGCTGTCCATTCGAGGAACCGGTGCCGGTTTCGGATGAAGTGAGGGAGTGTTCCTAGGAGGGGGTAAGGCTTGAGGCCATTGTTTTGAGATGGATTTTTTCGGTGGTGGTGGTAGTAGAAGAAGAAGAGAAAGAGAAGAGGGAAAAGGGAGGGGAAAAGGAGTGAATTGAGAGAGAAGAGGAGGTCCATGGATTTTGTGAGATGGGTTTGCTTGCGTGAGGTTTGGATGGAGGTAGAAGAAGTGAAAGTATTGAAGGAAACGCACTTGCATATAAACAAAAGGGGGAAGAGGCGACTTTGAGTTCTCTATATTTGATGAAGCTTGGTGCCCACGAAATTTGCGTGGAGGGCAAGGAGGTAGTTTTCTTATCCGGTGCTATGTTTAATTTGTCTGATTATATTCAGCGGTATACCAATTGTAAGGGATTATTTTTTGCCTCAAAATTTTCCAATAAATGGCAGGTTCGACCACGACGGGTAATGTTTATAATTGCTCTCTTTTGTTTTTACAGAAAACTAAAGTATCTGGATTAAAAATAAACTTTAACAAGAGTTTGCTCATTGCTCTTGAAGATAATGAGATCTTGCAGCATAATCTGGCTGGCATGTTAAATTGTAAAAGTGGTAGTTTTCCTATCACTTATCTTAGGGTTCCTTTGAGGCCTGGAAAATTAAAAAAAGAGGATTGGTCTCCTATTATTGATAAATTTGAAAGAAGATTGTCCTTATGGAAAGGAAAATCTTTATCAAGGGGAGGAAGATTAGTGCTTGTTAATGCAGTTCTTTCCTCTATGCCAATATTTTGGATGTCTTTTTTCTTATTTCCAGGGTGGCTTATTGATAGAATTGATATGATGAGGAGAAGATTTTTATGGACTGGTTCTTTGGAACACAAAAATTCATCTAATTTGGTTAAATGGGAAGAGATTTGCAGACCCAAAAAGCTAGGTGGCTTGGGTATCATAAATTTGAGAACTATGAATAAAGCCTTGTTAGGAAAATGGATTTGGAAATGGTTTGATGATAAGATGGATCTATGGAAAAAAATAAGTTTCTACAAGTATTTTGAAAATAAAAACTGGTCAGATTATTTTTGTTCTGACAAAAGATCCCTATCTCATTTCTGGAGGAATATTTTTATTAATGTTGATAGCTGTTTATGCAGTACTAATATAGATGTGGGGAATGGAAATAATACTCTTTATTGGCTTGATAAATGGACAGGTGCAAATACTCTGGCTTCTATGTTTCCTTCTCTTTATAACATTGCATCATTCCCTTATGCTACTATTACCAGTTTGAGGAAAAAATTAAATAATGATTGGATTTGGGATATTAAATTTCAAAAACAGCTGACAGGAAATCTGGTCTTTCAATATTATGATATGTTGAACAGTATTATGCTTATTAATTTTGTTCACAGGGAGGATAAGAGAAAGTGGATTTGGGAAGCAAAAGACAAGTTTACTGTTAAAACATATTATCATTTTCTTATTGATGGAGGCTCAAGGTATGACTGCTTAAATCTTTGGAAGCTTTCTGTTCCTCTAAAAGTGAAATTTCTGGTCTGGTTGGCTTTGAGAAGTGGTTTAAACACGAAAAAGAATTTAGTAAAGAAGAGTGTTCACATGTGCTGTGTTGTTTTTGTTCCAAGGAGGAGGAAAATCACCTTCATCTTTTTGTTAATTGTGAGTTTGTATACTCTATTTGGAGATCTGTCCAGTTTAAATTGAATATCAGGAAAGATTTCAAGTTATCTTCCTTAAAAGATATTTGGAAGAAATGGAGTGATGAGAAGTATGATAGTGAGAACATAGAGAGAGATGTGATTCTTTGATCTCTTATTTGGTGTATTTGGCAGGAAAAAAATGATAGAATTTTTTCAAATAAGAAAAGGAGATCATTAGAACTTTTGAACAAAATTTTGACTTTTACAAAATTTTGGATAGGTTCTCAGATAACTGATCGTGCAGCTAGACTACAAGAGAGGAGGAGGAAAAAAGCTGCTTCTGTTGCTGGAATTTCTTCAGTTTCCACAGCTGGGGGGTGATTGATCTGCTGGAATGAAGACTAAGCTGAAGAAAGAGATCTGCTTTTGTGGTCTAAATATGAAAAAATGTACAGTTGTTGATCTTTTGATACAGTTTTTGATATTTTGTTATCAATTGCTAGGGGGTGAAGAGTTTGGGTGAAGCTGACTGTAAAACTCTGATAATCCAGGGTATTCATTCTTGGTTGGGGATGAATACTTTTTTTGTAACAACCAATTTTGTTTAATTTAGCTGGCTGGATTACTATGTTGGTAATCCATCCTTTTTCTCAAAAAAAATTATTATTTGATTCAGAGCATCAAGTAATGGGTAACAATGTTAATCAAGAACATCCAAGCTAAAAAAAAAAGACCCCCTAACAACTTGTTTGGAAGCCTCTCCCTATCAGACTGTAGCACACTTTGCCAAAAAAAAGAGGGGGGTCCCCGAGCCATGCCACATAGTCAACAAGATCCTTAACAATGTTTCCTCACAATTAGACAGGCTCCATCGCCCCTTTTCTAAATATACAGCTCCATCAAAATTCATTTTCCAGATGCCTATGCAAGGAGCGCGCCGCACCTCTAGTACCGCACTAGCAAGCACACTCATATGTGTTTCTTTCTAATTCAAAAAAGTCACTCTAGATTAATTTCCCATATATTGAAGTAAAATGTAACAACATGGAAGTTTCATATCTGCATAGCGAACCCTGAGATCAATACGTGATTAAAATAGATGTTAGACATGTGCTTGAAGAAAATATACATAGCCTTTACCCTGACTCTAGATTAATTTCCCATATATTGAAGTAAAATGTAACAACATGGAAGTTTCATATCTGCATAGCGAACCCTGAGATCAATACGTGATTAAAATAGATGTTAGACATGTGCTTGAAGAAAATATACATAGCCTTTACCCTGAGATCACATTTTCCAGATGCCTATGCAAGGAGCGCGCCGCACCTCTAGTACCGCACTAGCAAGCACACTCATATGTGTTTCTTTCTAATTCAAAAAAGTCACTCTAGATTAATTTCCCATATATTGAAGTAAAATGTAACAACATGGAAGTTTCATATCTGCATAGCGAACCCTGAGATCAATACGTGATTAAAATAGATGTTAGACATGTGCTTGAAGAAAATATACATAGCCTTTACCCTGAGATCA